GTTAGCTCCTCCTATCATGCCAATAACCCACCCCCCCATTTGAATGTGATCACATGGTTAGCTCCCCCATCATGCCAGTAACCCCCCATTTACATGGTTTTGTTGACCCCACAGATGACAATAAACGTGAGCAGCTGCCATGGTTTACCATTCCGACCCACATTTCCTAATTCTGAATGGAAATTCCTGCAATATGCAATGCGTATGTAAAACAGCTGGGCCTGTGCTAATGTATGCAGCGTTAATAACATTTCTCGGTGCCTTAAGCTGTGGAAAGTAACGCTATATTAACTGGTGCGAAGATGACTCCCACTCTCCCGACACCTCTATTGGGTGACTTTACATTTACTTTAAGGGTCAACAAATTATATTTTATTGTTTTATTGTAACTGCCTTTCAGATCTGAAATACTCCATACACGCCATGATTAGCTGCAAATTAACTGCAAATCCAGGTTTGGTGGAAGCTCCCATGACATGGAACTGCCAAAGGTTTTGAGTGATCTGATTATAACTGGGATAATGGAACGGTATCACTTGATAACACTGTGTCCCTTTTTTATTGGATACAATGTGGAATGTGTAGCAAGATCCAGTGTATTGCATATAAACACAATTCATACATCACTGCATAGCACAAGCCATGTATCGCTGCATAGACACACAATCCATGTACAGCTGCATTGCATAGAGACACCATCCATGTACCGCTGCACTGCATAGTCACAATCCATGTAGCACTGCACTGCATAGAGACACAATCCATGTACTGCTGCACTGCATAGACACAATCCATGTACCGCTGCACTGCACAAACACAATCCATGTACCGCTGCACTGCATATAGACACAATGCATACTGCACTACACTGCATAGACACAATCCATGTACCGCTGCACTGCATAGAGACACAATCCATGTACCGCTGCACTGCATAGAGACACAACCCATGTAGCACTGCATAGAGACACAATCCATGTACCGCTGCACTGCATAGAAACACCATCCATGTAGCACTGCATAGAGGCACAATCCATGTACCGCTGCACTGCATGGAAACAATCCATGTAGCACTGCATTGCATCGAGACACAATCCATGTACCGCTGCACTGCATAGAGATACAATCCATGTAGCACTGCATAGAGACACAATCCATGTACCGCTGCACTGCATAGAGACACAATCCATGTACTGCTGCACTGCACTGAAACACAATCCATGTACCACTGCATAGAGACACAATCCATGTAGCACTGCATAGAGACACAATCCATGTACCGCTGCACTGCATAGTGACAATCCATGTACCGCTGCACTGCATAGAGACACCATCCATGTAGCACTGCATAGAGACACAATCCATGTACCGCTGCACTGCATAGAGACACAATCCATGTAGCACTGCATAGAGACACAATCCATGTACCGCTGCATAGAGACACAATCCATGTACTGCTGCACTCCATAGAGACACGAACCATGTACCGCTGCATTCATACACAATCCATGTAGCACTGCATAGAGACACAATCCATGTAGCACTGCACTGCATAGAGACACAATCCATGTAGCACTGCATAGAGACACAATCCACGTACTGCTGCACTGCATAAAGACACAATCCATGTACCGCTGCACTGCACAGAAACGCAATCCATGTAGCACTGCACAGACACAATCCATGTACCGCTGCACTGCATAGAGACACAATCCATGTACCGCTGCACTGCACAGAAACGCAATCCATGTAGCACTGCACAGACACAATCCATGTACCGCTGCACTGCATAGAGACACAATCCATGTACCGCTGCACTGCATAGTGACAAAATCCATGTACCGCTGCACTGCATAGACACCATCCATGTAGCACTGCATAGAGACACAATCAATGTAGCTCTGCATAGAGACACAATCCATGTACCGCTGCACTGCATAGAGACACAATCCATGTAGCACTGCATAGAGATACAATCCATGTAGCTCTGCATAGAGACACAATCCATGTACTGCTGCACTCCATAGAGACACAAACCATGTACCGCTGCATTCATACACAATCCATGTAGCACTGCATAGAGACACAATCCATGTAGCACTGCATAGAGACACAATCCATGTACCGCTGCACTGCATAGAGACACAATCCATGTACCGCTGCAATGCATAGTGACAAAATCCATGTTCCGCTGCACTGCATAGAGACACAATCCATGTACCGCTGCAATGCATAGTGACAAAATCCATGTTCCGCTGCACTGCATAGAGACACAATCCATGTGCCTCTGCACTGCATAGAGACACAATCCATTTACCACTGCATAGAGACACAATCCATGTAGCACTGCATAGAGGCACAATCCATGTACCGCTGCACTGCATGGAAACAATCCATGTAGCACTGCATTGCATCGAGACACAATCCATGTACCGCTGCACTGCATAGAGATACAATCCATGTAGCACTGCATAGAGACACAATCCATGTACCGCTGCACTGCATAGAGACACAATCCATGTACCGCTGCACTGCACTGAAACACAATCCATGTACCGCTGCATAGAGACACAATCCATGTAGCACTGCATAGAGACACAATCCATGTACCGCTGCACTGCATAATGACAAAATCCATGTACCGCTGCACTGCATAGAGACACAATCCATGTACCGCTGCATAGAGACACAATCCATGTACCGCTGCACTGCATAGAGACACAATCCATGTAGCACTGCATAGAGATACAATCCATGTAGCAATGCATAGAGACACAATCCATGTACCGCACCGCATAGAGACACAACTATGTAGCACTGCATAGAGACACACAATCCATGTACCGCTGCATAGAGATACAATCCATGTAGCAATGCATAGAGACACAATCCATGCACCGCCAGACCGCATGAGACACAACCACATGTAAATCACAGTAATGCATAGTGACAAATCCATGTTCCGCCAGTAACTGCATAGAGACACAATCCATGTACCGCTGCAATGCATAGAGACACAATCCAGTGCACCACAGCACCCGCCAGAAACGCAATCCATGTAGCACTGCACAGACACAATCCATGTACCGCTGCACTGCATAGAGACACAATCCATGTAGCACTGCATAGAGACACAATCCATGTACCGCTGCACTGCATAGTGACAAAATCCATGTACCGCTGCACTGCATAGACACCATCCATGTAGCACTGCATGGAAACAATCCATGTAGCACTGCATTGCATCGAGACACAATCCATGTACCGCTGCACTGCATAGAGATACAATCCATGTAGCACTGCATAGAGACACAATCCATGTACCGCTGCACTGCATAGAGACACAATCCATGTACCGCTGCACTGCACTGAAACACAATCCATGTACCGCTGCATAGAGACACAATCCATGTAGCACTGCATAGAGACACAATCCATGTACCGCTGCACTGCATAGTGACAAAATCCATGTACCGCTGCACTGCATAGACACCATCCATGTAGCACTGCATAGAGACACAATCAATGTAGCTCTGCATAGAGACACAATCCATGTACCGCTGCATAGAGACAATAACCATGTAGCAAATGCATAGACACAATCCATGTACCTGCACTGCATAGAGACACAATCCATGTAGCACTGTACATACAATCCATGTACCGCTGCATAGAGATAATCCAATGCAGCAAAATTTACAGAGACACAATCCATGTACCACAGACCGTATAGAGACACAATCCATGTACCGCTGCAATGCATAGTGACAAAATCCATAAATTCCGCCAGCACTGCATAGAGACACAATCCATGTACCGCTGCAAATGCATAGAGACACAACCATGTACCGCTGCACTGCACACAGAAACGCGAATCCATGCAGCACCCACAAGGTTAGGCCAATCCATGTACCGCTGCACCGCATAGAGACACAATCCATGTAGCACTGCATGAGACACAATCCAAAAATCAGCTGCACTGCATAGTGACAAAATCCATGTACCGCTGCACTGCATAGACACCATCCATGTAGCACTGCATAGAGACACAATCAATGTAGCTCTGCATAGAGACACAATCCATGTACCGCTGCACTGCATAGAGACACAATCCATGTAGCACTGCATAGAGACACAATCCATGTAGCTCTGCATAGAGACACAATCCATGTACTGCTGCACTCCATAGAGACACGAACCATGTACCGCTGCATTCATACACAATCCATGTAGCACTGCATAGAGACACAATCCATGTAGCACTGCACTGCATAGAGACACAATCCATGTAGCACTGCATAGAGACACAATCCACGTACTGCTGCACTGCATAAAGACACAATCCATGTACCGCTGCACTGCACAGAAACGCAATCCATGTAGCACTGCACAGACACAATCCATGTACCGCTGCACTGCATAGAGACACAATCCATGTACCGCTGCACTGCATAGAGACACAATCCATGTACCGCTGCACTGCACAGAAACGCAATCCATGTAGCACTGCACAGACACAATCCATGTACCGCTGCACTGCATAGAGACACAATCCATGTAGCACTGCATAGAGACACAATCCATGTACCGCTGCACTGCATAGTGACAAAATCCATGTACCGCTGCACTGCATAGACACCATCCATGTAGCACTGCATAGAGACACAATCAATGTAGCTCTGCATAGAGACACAATCCATGTACCGCTGCACTGCATAGAGACACAATCCATGTAGCACTGCATAGAGACACAATCCATGTAGCTCTGCATAGAGACACAATCCATGTACTGCTGCACTCCATAGAGACACAAACCATGTACCGCTGCATTCATACACAATCCATGTAGCACTGCATAGAGACACAATCCATGTAGCACTGCATAGAGACACAATCCATGTACCGCTGCACTGCATAGAGACACAATCCATGTACCGCTGCAATGCATAGTGACAAAATCCATGTTCCGCTGCACTGCATAGAGACACAATCCATGTGCCTCTGCACTGCATAGAGACACAATCCATTTACCACTGCATAGAGACACAATCCATGTAGCACTGCATAGAGACACAATCCATGTAGCACTGCAGATGAGACACAATCCATGTAGCACTGCATAGAGACACAATCCATGTACCGCTGCACTGCATAATGACAAAATCCATGTACCGCTGCACTGCATAGAGACACAATCCATGTACCGCTGCATAGAGACACAATCCATGTACCGCTGCACTGCATAGAGACACAATCCATGTAGCACTGCATAGAGATACAATCCATGTAGCACTGCATAGAGACACAATCCATGTACCGCTGCACTGCATAGAGACACAATCCATGTACTGCTGCACTGCACTGAAACACAATCCATGTACCGCTGCATAGAGACACAATCCATGTAGCACTGCATAGAGACACAATCCATGTACCGCTGCACTGCATAGTGACAATCCATGTACCGCTGCACTGCATAGAGACACCATCCATGTAGCACTGCATAGAGACACAATCCATGTACCGCTGCACTGCATAGAGACACAATCCATGTAGCAATGCATAGAGACACAATCCATGTACCGCTGCACTGCATAGAGACACAATCCATGTAGCACTGCATAGAGACACAATCCATGTACCTGCATAGAGATACAATCCATGTAGCAATGCATAGAGA